TTATGAGCAACTTATCTTTGACAAAGGAGCTAAAAATATACGATGGAGAAATAGCAGCCTCTTCAACAAAAACTGCTGGGAAAACTGGTTAGCAGTCTGCAAAAAACTGAAACTAGATCCATGTATATCACCCTATACCAAGATTAACTCAAAATGGATCAAGGATCTTAATATCAGACCCCAAACTCTTAAGTTGATACAAGAAAGAGTAGGAAATACTCTGGAGTTAGTAGGTATAGGTAAGAACTTTCTCAATGAAACCCCAGCAGCACAGCAACTAAGAGATAGCATAGATAAATGGGACCTCATAAAGCTAAAAAGCTTCTGTTCATCAAAAGAAATGGTCTCTAAACTGAAGAGAACACCCACAGAGTGGGAGAAAATATTTGCCAATTATACATCAGACAAAGGACTGATAACCAGAATATACAGGGAACTTAAAAAACTAAATTCTCCCAAAACTAATGAACCAATAAAGAAATGGGCAAGTGAACTAAACAGAACTTTCTCAAAAGAAGAAATTCAAATGGCCAGAAAACACATGAAAAAATGCTCACCATCTCTAGCAATAAAGGAAATGCAAATTAAAACCACACTAAGATTCCACCTCACCCCTGTTAGAATAGCCATCATCAGCAACACCACCAACAACAGGTGTTGGCGAGGATGCAGGGAAAGAGGAACCCTCTTACACTGTTGGTGGGAATGTAGACTAGTACAACCACTCTGGAGAAAAATTTGGAGGCTACTTAAAAAGCTGGACATCGATCTACCATTTGATCCAGCAATACCACTCTTGGGGATATACCCAAAAGACTGTTACTCCAGAGGCACCTGCACATCCATGTTTATTGCAGCACTATTCACAATAGCCAAGTTATGGAAACAGCCAAGATGCCCCACCACTGACGAATGGATTAAGAAAATGTGGTATCTATACACAATGGAATTTTATGCAGCCATGAAGAAGAACGAAATGTTATCATTCGCTGGTAAATGGATGGAATTGGAGAACATCATTCTGAGTGAGGTTAGCCTGGCTCAAAAGACCAAAAATCATATGTTCTCCCTCATATGTGGACATTAGATCAAGGGCAAACACAACAAGGGGATTGGACTATGAGCACATGATAAAAGCGAGAGCACACAAGGGAGGAGTGAGGATAGGTAAGACACCTAAAAAACTAGCTAGCATTTGTTGCCCTTAACGCAGAGAAACTAAAGCAGATACCTTAAAGCAACTGAGGCCAATAGGAAAAGGGGAACAGGTACTAGAGAAAAGGTTAGATCAAAAAGAATTAACCTGGAAGGTAACACACACGCACAGGAAATCAATGTGAGTCAATGCCCTGTATAGCTATCCTTATCTCAACCAGCAAAACCCCTTGTTCCTTCCTATTATTGCTTATACTCTCTCTACAACAAAATTAGAGATAAGAGCAAAATAGTTTCTGCTGGGTATTGAGGGGGGGAGCAGGAGGGGGGTGGAGTGGGTGGTAAGGGAGGGGGTGGGGGCAGGGGGGAGAAATGAACCAAGCCTTGTATGCACATATGAATAATAAAAGAAAAATGAAAAAAAAAAAATAAATAAAATAAAAGCAAAAAAAAAAAAAAAAAGAGATTACAGGTGGTAAATTAGGCTATTGGTCCTCAAACCAGGCTCTGTCCTTGGACCAGGGTCTGTCCATCTCTCTGCTTCCAAAGGGACATCTATGTGGTCTACATTGAAGTTGGCTGCTACCAACCTATGGCTAAATCTGCCTTTCCACTTGTTTTGGAGTGGCCCATGAGCTAAGAGTGGTTTATTCATTTTTAAATGATTGAGCAAAAAAAAAAAATCAAAAGAATATTTCATAACACATATAAAAACTCAAATTCAGCGTTCATAAATAAAGTTTTATTGGCATGCCACCAGGAACATGTGTTTCTATATTGTCTGCGCTGCTCTTAGGCTGTGGTGATAATGGTGAATGGCTGCTCAGTGACTGTACACCCACAAAGCCTAAGTCCTTACCATGTGCCCTTGACAGAAAAAAGATTATTGACCCTAGTCTAGATGGTCATGGCCTATTTTTAAATTTTATTTATTAATTTTTGGTGGTATTTTGATTTGAACTCAGGTCCTCCTGCTTGCTAGGCAGGAGCTTTCACCAGTTGAACTACTCTGTCAGTCCTGTTTTTCTGTGTTGGGTGTTTTTGAGATAGGATTGCTTGAACTATTTGCTTGAGCTGACTTTGAACCTCAATCCTCTGATCTCTGCCTCCTCAGTAGCTAGAATTAAAGGCGTGAGCCACCCAGTGGCTGGCTGCTCACAGCCTATTTTATGGATGTGGCTGTGTGGTGAACAATGGTCTGTAAAAGTAAATAAGGGGGGGGAAGGGCACGGGGGCAGAGATGGTTGGAGGTCGCTGATGCTGCCTCACTGTATTGCCACCCCAAAGAGAGAAATCGTTTCTTGGAAAGTAATATTTGGTCAAAATGACTGTATTAATGAGATAAAGCCAATGGAAACTGGCAGCCCCACAGGGCCCAGGACACAGCATGCCTCACAAGGTCTCAGCGCACCGAGGCTTGGCAGAGGGCAGGCATTGTACCTGCACCCGAGCTTCAGGCAGGTTGATCCTGGCGGCCAGCTGGGTGCGGACGTGAACGTCAGGGTAGTGGGTGAAGTTGAAGAGCTTCTCCAGCTCCTGCAGCTGCTCGGTGGTGAAGGTGGTCCGGACCCTCCGCTTGCTCTTCCTCTCTTCTGCAAGAGAAAGGGTCCAGGCTGGCTTAGTGATCTTGGTGTGAGCCCCTCAGTAAGACTGTTCAATCACCCTGTTCTTCCCTCTTGACCTCATTACTAGAACCGAGTCTTGGCTTTGGCTCCTTGGGCATGCAGCTTTGCAACATTCTCTTCCCCAACCTCTTCTAGGTTCACCCCTTTCAGCTACCCTGGATAATGAAGTCAAGTTAACCTTCTAGAATATTCTTTCTGATTTTATGCCTTTGTGCTGCTCAGATGCCTTCAATGACTCCCCCTTGTCTACAATGAGAGATGGTAAACTATGGCCTGCAGTACATATCCAGCCCACTATCTGTTTTTAAATAAAGTTTTATTGGAACACAGCTTGAGTCATTGGCTTATGTATTGTCTCTGACTGCTTTTGCAATATAATCGCACAGTTGAGTCATTGCAATGGAGACCATATGGCTATAAAGACTAAAATAATTACCATCTGTTCCTTTTCTGAAAAAGTGTGCCAACCAACCTTGGCCTAAAAAGTGCAGGCTGAGCTGTGCAGCAGCCAGGCTGTTTCCAACCCACCTATCCAGTCTTGGTTCTACTCAGGGCTGGTCATGTCATGTATGGGCTCCAATATGAAATGAAAATGTGAAATCTCTCGTTCAAAAGGAAGCCAAAAGCTTGTGCATTTCTTTCACAGTCTCTCTCTTGAGCTCTTATGATGGTCTTTCACTATTTAATGGTGAGCTCTCCTAAGAGAAAACAAGGATCCTCACAGGGGGACTGCCGACCCTCCTAGTGGCTTGAAGGCCACACTGAGACTGGAGACGTGAATGTCCAGTGAAAACATTTGGCCTCATCCTGACCTTCACCCTCCTGGAATCCATGCCCAGCCAAGGTGGAATAGGACTGCAGTCTCTGGGTAGGGGCAAGGGAACAGTGGTCAAGATCCCGTCCTAGGAAGGTGGGGAGAGGACACTGATTATGAGTAGAGGTTCCAAGTCTCAAGTGCCTGGCATATGCTCTGTTGTGCCATTTGACTTCATTTACAAAACACAGATTCAAACATAAAATTATTAAGAATTTCAAGAGGATGACCACAAACATTCAGCCCCACTCATGGGGCCTCTCTCTGGGCACAGGGCCCTATGCAAGTATGTTGGGCACCACATATCGATGAAGCCAGGTCCGCCTCTACTACTCTGTCAATCTATGCCCTTCCTTTCTCAAGTTGGTGTACTTACCATCTTGGCAACATGCCAGGTATGTGCTCATCTCTCTGGTTTTCCTCCAACTATCTCATGTGTCTGGGACTGATCACCACTCTTGTCAATAATTCTAATTTCTATTGGTTCTTCAACCCCTAAACTCATTCTTATATTCTCTAAACTTTCCTAATCTTTCTAGCTATGGCTGAGGTGAGAGACACAGACAAGCATGTGACTTAGAGTATATGGGCCATGTGGCAGCTAGACTATGGTAGTCACTGCTCCAATAGAGATGGGCACCTATTTTGATTTACTTGCCCTAAACTGCCTCCTTTCTGGGACCAACACTCCCTTCCTTTTTTTTTTTTGTCTTATTCACTTGTTTATTTTTACTTGCTTATTTATTTATTTATTCTTGTTTTTGGAGGCAGAGTCTCACCATATAGTCCATGCTGGTCTTGAACTCCTGGATCTTCCTGCCTCAGTCTCCCAAGTTCTGGGATAAAATTTTATTTTGTAAAAAGAGGCATTCATTTTATCTATAATTTATTTAGAGCTGGTAGTGTGTTTAGGGAATAGAGCTGAAGCCAATCAGAATTGGGTAGAAACAAAGGGCAGGTGATCACCCCTGCCACCAGCTTTGTGAATGTCTTCTCTGATTCTAGCCTCTAAGAGGCACTGAGGGAGAATAACACAATCAGCTAACACGCCATGTTCATTCATTCACTCACTCCATCAGCATTTTAGAGTGCACTTCTATGGGAAGCCACAGAAAAGCTCACAGAGGGGAAGAGTCCAGGCTGGCTGCAGAGTGTGGAGCCAAGATTGTCCTGGAAATATAGAACCATGGAATAGAGGATACCGGGAGAGGATGTAGAACCTCTCCCGGTATGTGGGATGTAGAACCAGGATACAGAAAATAAAACAAGATAGAGATGAGAATTCAAAGCAGAATGTAGATTATAAGAAAAATTAGCTGGTTCCCCCATTTCCCCCCAGAAAGAAGTGTTGGTGACTGAGAATAGATTCCTTAATAAAATAATGATTTCAAGCCTTCCATTTGTGTAAGTAGGGGAGCAGCTATTAAGATATATATAGCTTTCCTACATTCCCAGCAGGACTGGAGGGAGGGTGAAGAAGGAAGGGTATAAACTCTGCTCTGTCCAATAACTTGACTGCTGATTTCGTGAAGGGGGGGGATGCCTGACTCACCAATGGGCTGATGGGAAAAATACTGCATCCTGTTGGCTTTAAACCACACACCCTTAAGATAAGTATTTGTCTTTGCGAGACGATGATGATGGCAGTGATTCCTTCAAGTATAAATAGGGTGCCTAAAATTCACACTGGGGAGAAGTGGAGGCTGAGCCCCAAGTGGACCAGCCTGAAGGACTCAGAATGCCAAAGCCTTCCCTCAAGGAAGGGCTGTAGGTTCCTGGGGTGTCCAGAGTCAATTTTGATTATCCTCAGACTGCCCTTCTTGGGATGTTATTCTAGACCAAACAACCTCAAACTAGAGAAATGTAAAAAGGAGTGACAGGCAAAGGGCCCCAGAGCCCAGAGCTGACTTCACCTCCAGTGTGCAGTGGGTGGGGCTTCCTGATATTTGGTTGAAGAGACTCAACCAAGAGGGCCAAGTGCAGTTTTGAGAGAGACAGATAACTTGGACCCGGAGTCAGGGAAACAAATTTAGGATTTGAGGCTGTGCATTGTGCAAAGTTTAACTCCTTAGAGCTGCTCTGTCCACTATGGCAGCCGCTAACGCCATGTGGCTATTTAAATGGAATAAAATAAAAAACTCAGTTCCTCAGTCACACTAGCCATAGCTCAACAGCCCCTGCAGGGATGGAGTTTTGGGGGGAGGGGGTGGAGAGCGTGGCTACCACGGTGCAGCTATAGAACACTTTTGTCATCACAGAATATTGTGTTCTTGAAAAGAGTTATGTCCTAGGTCTAACTTTTTGTTTCTTTTTCCATTATAATGACCTTTAATTGCCACAAACCTTCAGGAAAGAAAGTACACAATGGGCATGGTGCCAACTTTGATGGCCTTGGGGGAGCTGGAAGTATAGACTTGACCACACTCATCTCTCTGCCTGAGGCTGGGGAGAAGGAGGGGGTCAGTGGTGGGGATGTTGCTTGTTAACCTGACAATGGTCCATAGGGCAGGAAGGGAGGAAGGAGAACGGTGTCTAAAGGGACAGGTCAGGAAGGATGAAGATCAACACTTTAGCTTTCCCACTATATGCAGGCAGAGACTGCCAGGGGGCCAGGAAGTCTGATACGTGTGTGACAGGGTACAGTGGATCACAAGAGAGAAGCAGGTGTGAGAAGGTAGAACAGCACAGGTGGACCATGGAGTGGAGAATGCCAAACACAATCTGTCCATAGGTTTTTGGAACCAGAAGGACCTCGTTCATCAAGAGGCTGGAAATATAAGCGTATTGATGGAGCTGCCCCAGGTACTGGATGGGATTCTTAATCACCAAAAAGGGTCAGGGTGTTCTGGACCCCTAGTCAGAGAGGAAAATGGGGCATGGGACCCCATTTTCTCAAGCAGGATGGATCATCCTGTAAGGAGCATTGGGCCGAGAGTGAGATATTCCTTGGCTTTTCCTCATGGTTCAGCATCTCCTGATCAGGTTCTTGGCAGAGAAGCCAAGAAGCAGGTATCCTATCCTAGCCCACCCATGCGCTGGCCACGGGCATCTGGGGAGCAGGGACGGGGGATGAAGGTGGCAGGACCTGCCACCCCTTTCAGGTTGCTCCTCTCACCGTTGTTAATTATGGCAGATGTGAATCACACTTCAGTGGGTCTTCAAAGAGAACAAGTCAGCAGAACTTAATTAAACCTGAGCTGGTTAGCACATCGATCATAAGAAATACACAATTTACACAGGTGATTAGGCCACCTAATTATAAACTGATGTTTCTTGTGCTCAGCTCCCTTCCCTGATTGCTCCTTCTCTGCGGTTTGCTAATTGGCCCTGGCTGCTCTGCTTAAGGCCCAGGGGGTCATCCTCATGGGGCAAAGTCTCTGGAAATGGCCTTGTCCTTGTCTCTAATGGCAGTGGGTTTGCCATGGAGGAGATCCAGAGTACATTTGCAGTCCTCCTGCAGGCTAGAGACACCTCTTGATGCACAAAGGTGGGGTGCAGGTCAGGAATCTCCCTGAGCTAACCTGGGCTGGCCTCTTCTCTTGAGTTAGGCCATGGGCTTCCCATTGCTCCCTTGTGCCCACAGGGTAAAAGGTCAGCATCTTAGCATGGCGTTCAAGGCTCTATCCATTCTGCCTTCTATCATGCACTTTCTCCCTAGCCCTCAGTTCTGTGATTTCAGTTCCACCTGACCATCTGCATTCCCCCCAAATTGTTCATGGTCTCAGTCTCCAAGTGCTGGTTCTTGCTAGCCTCTACATCTGCAGTGCCTCATCTTCCTTCTTTGTCTAGTGAATTCCTAGTCATCTGTTAAAGCTCAAATCAATCAAATGTTTTCTTCTCTCCAAGATCTGTTGTAAATCTCCTAGGGGAAGCACAGTAATTTTTTTTAATGTTAAAGTTAAGTGTTAATTTTCAGCTTGCAACAAGCCAGCCTCCATATTAAAATATTCTGTTTTTATCATCCATCAAAATATTACTAGTGGTCTCTACTGGGTGGTGGGATAGTAGAGTTACAGTTACATTTTCTTATGTCTTTTTGTTTATCTGTATTTCCTGTTTTTTTGTAATAAGCAGGGATTTCTTGTGTAAGAAAACAACAAAAAGAGTAGGGTGGAAAGAACTGAGAAGAAAGAAGTTACAGTAAGAAGCCAGT